TCGCCGGCTATGCTTTTCTTATATCTTGGCTTAGGCTTAGCCTAGAGCAGAACAAGATAGCCGACAAGGATGCGAGAAAAATTGGGCGCTTTGGGACGTAGAACCTTGGTCGCTATCGTGTTCTGCCCTAGTCTAAGCCTAAGCCTAAATGTAAGAACAGCAGAGCCACAACGTAGCGAGAAAACAGCACGCTTGGCCTCATAGGTGTCGCCACTGTAGTTTGCGGGGGCGTAAATGACAAGACCTTTAAGGTCTCCACTGCCAAGATGCGATTCACGCGTTGCCTAAGTATCATTTGGATCTTTTGGCGTTCTGTATAATGCCTAACCAAAGTATACGACATATTAAAATAACGCATAGACGTCGTACTTTGCCTAAGGACGTCACTCATTCTGTAGAATGCCGGCGTTTCGTGCATTGCATGTAACGTGTATTTTTTTCTTTTGCCTTTGTCCCACATAAGTTGGGTCAGCGATGGACCGGCCATAAGCCAGCATAATGGGGCCGAGTTATTCCACCAGCCGGCTTGTCGCACAGCCTGGCGCCAGGGGAGAGCATGCTTCTTTTGTTGAACATTTTTAAAATTTAACTTAGATTATGTTAATATGGATGCATATAGCGTATTGTGTTGCAGCTTGCTAGGAAGGATGTAGTGAGCCGAATGTGGAAGATCTTCAAAGAGCGCAATTTGATGGTTAGTGCTAACCGCATCCTTTGAACGCATCTGTATTTGGCCGTTTGTTTTTAGGATCCTAAAAACAAGCAGTTTGTCCTATGCGACGAACAGTTGGAGAAAGTGTTCAGTAAGCAAACGAGCCGAGCGTCGTTCGTACTTCTGCTTGTGATGTGTCTCCAATTTTAGAGACGAAAAAGTTTCGCGCCTTTGGCATGATGAAAATTTTAAAGCACCACATAAAGGACGCCAGGTTGGTGCAGAAGTGAACTTAGCAGCGGCATTCTCTCTTTTGTCACTCACCAGTCGCCGCTGCTACGTTGAACCAACTGCCAACAAGAGACAGTTCCGGTTTATCTACTTGTTAGCTGAGAACAAATGTAGTTACGTTATTTTCTTTGTTTATGAGCGGATGCAATCGATTTGTGCCATTTCGTATAATCAAGCAGGCAAAGTGCCCTCCAATCTTGTCAAATAGCTCTTTTAGTGCCCAAAGCTTTCTTGTCCCTCTCCGCTTATCCGTAGTTGAATGTTGACGTGACGTTTCATCCACAAAGTATGCGTATCCGGTTAGCTTCAATGTCTTCTTATTTTAAATTTTACTGCCAATGAAAGCTGACAGTCTTCTCAGCTTGGTCTCATTGGTCAGTATTATTTTTGAAATTAGCGTCCTTTTCCGCGAATGATTCCTTTGAGTGATTGCCCAGTAGATTCGACTTGTTTTATTCCGGCAAAGTAGTTAAGCTCTATTTAGCGTGACGATGTGCAGTGAATTGACCAGCGCATTTGTCCCCCCTTACATATGACGTCACTTATCGCATTTTCTATTTCAAAGAAATTGTGCAATTTCATTTCTTCGGTATGCGCACCTTCGCAGCGCCAATCGATAACGCAATAACAGCGACACCTCTTAACCGAGCGCTGCATAAAATTTGCATACGCGCTTGTTATCTTATCAGCAATTCAAAAGCTTTTGAAATTCTTATCGATTGCACCTTATCAGATTTAGGCATTGGCGCTGCAACTCTTTGAAAGGAGTACTTGCATCGATCAAACAAGGTGAGAAGCTAAAAAGAGTGGGGCGGTCAGCTAGCTTTGTTTAAGTGGCACACGTTACATTAGCTGCTTTTAATTGCTTTAGCAATTGAACTGGTTGTTTTCTACCCTTACTTATGCAAATGTGGAGGAAATGAAGACCGTAGCGGAGGAGAAAGCGAACGTTCAATCGATGCGTTTGCCTGACAGCAGTTGCTCAAAGCCATTAGAGACCTAAAAAGAAAACGATGGTCAGTCGGATGGGTTGAACTGAGAAAATCGGAAATATTTATTATTGCAAGGAACAACGAAGAAACAGCATGAGTAATGCAAGATCAGAATAGTTCTCTCCTAAAATGACCATGCGAAATATTTCACTGCGGAACAGCCGGCGGTTCTACGGCGATTGTTGTTGGGATTATGGCAGGCTGGGCCGGGATCAGCGGCTTCACATCATCAGCGTCGCTCGACGGCGTCGAACCCATCACTAAGAGAATATCGCCGTTTTTATAGCTACATCGGGAGTGCCTAACTCTAACCGCCCACTAAAGATAACGCCTAACAAGTGAGCTCAGAAAAGAAGAAAAAATGAAAACGAACGGCACTATTTATGGTCCACTCGGCTACAGTAAGCGACAACATGAGATCGATCTTCAGGTTCGACAAATTGATGCACCAGAAACAAAAACAGAAACATAATACAGGTGAAGAAGACTACTTGCTTTGAACCGGGACGCTTTTTCCCGCGTGCCTAGGTTTGCCTGTAGTGAATGGCACGTAACGATACTTGATCATGTGCTTAAGGTGAAAAAAAAGCATTCACACACGTGTTGGACGCAACGGGACGACAAAGCGTACCTTAATTTGCCTTTTCATCGTAAGGCAGAACAGAATGACAAAGTAGACGACCAGAATTGGCCAAAAAACGGGTACATTGAACATTTCGAAAAAGGTGCACACGAAAGCAATTATTATAGACTTGGTAGCCGCGTGCCTGAAAAAAGAAGTGCAAGGCGTAATTGGAACGAAACCTGCGTGTCTCTTACCAAAATTTAAACTCGGGCAACCGCCTCATGAAGGGGCGAAATTCTTCGTTCGACTTTGTCGGCAGCGAAGGACCATCCTCGTTTTCTGCAAATGGAGAAAATGAATTGGACAACCGCCGGCCGCAAGTCGCCGCCTCTACCGCTTTCAAGTTCAAGGGCAGGATCAATTTTCGGCGTCAAAAACGCAATGAGCAAATTCAAGTGATATATACCGAGAGCGTAAGTGACTATGTAGAAGCCCTGAATAAAACTGGACGACTTTGAAACGATACGAAGGAAGCCATTTCGGCTTACTTGAACGTGAACAATTCGACACATGAAAAGTATACCCAGCAAAATGGTCGCTATCCATCGCGACAATGTGTAAGGCGTCCACTGATCGAGAAACAATTGATACCGCTGAAACAGAAGAGCACGAAAAGAAAGATGCTTGAAATAAAACGTATAATCAACGCTCAAATATAATCACTGTACGTTAACAAAAATACGGCAGCCAAATATGCAACCAATGCGCTTAACAAAGTAATTAACGCTTCAAACATTAACCAGTGGACAAGCGACAGCCGCTAAGTAATCAACGGGTGATTACAGAGCAATTTTTACCTGCGACAATCCCTTATAGAAACGAGACAAAACGTGTGGTTTGTCAACAATTTCGTCCTCTTCCAAACCCATTCCTACTTGAACAGCAACGTTAAATAAAACAACAAGACCAACAACGGTTGCGGATTTTGAGGAAGGCCCGCTGTAATCGCAACCGGCTTACTATCAATCAAAATAATGCTCATGTTCAATGCTTATGCTACTGTGAACGACCGATTTGATCGTTTGCTTTAGAAGCAAGTATAATTGTCCTGCTCAACACAAGAGCGCGAAGCAAAGTAATTGCAAATTTATTCTGCGCAAGTACTCATTTTGGAAGATCGCTGAAATTCCGATATAGCCAGCGTTTCTTAACCTGTCTCCACGTAAAAGAATATTGGTACCGCAATGACGTGAGCGCCGTAACTGATGTTTAGTTACATGCGAGCAAACTGTTGCAAAGGCCTATACGGCGATTATAGTTTCTTACGTTTTACAAAAGCTATCAGTCTTCAATTGCAACGGGCAGCGTCGGTTTTGTGATGAGCAGGTAGGAAGCGTTTCCAAAGTCGAACAAGGTCGAATTAGTATAAAAACGAGGAAAGCAAAATTACTACAATTTTCAAAACTGATAAACTCATCAGCCGAGGAGTTGAAAAAAGTCGTTTTGCAAACTTTAAACAAATAACCATAAAACGCGTTATTGCTAACGAATGGACAGAAATCATAGTAGCATAATTTTGCAGCACAACAGCCGAAAACCTGAACTAAGGCATTAGTGGTACGCCCATTACTCAATTTTGTTCGCAGCAATTTTCAACTTGTGTAATTCGTACTTCCTATTCTACTTTGCAGCGAACTCTTTCAGGCCATTCGATTATCCTCAATCGTTTGCAGTCATTCCGCTTAGCAAATTGCATTTTCAAGCAACGGACCTATTAAAGTTTCCTACACAGTTTTGCTTTCACCGTTTTTCAGATCCATGGCTTCTCAAACGCCTTTGCAAGTTAGACGACCTCTCCTTCCTTCCAGTAATCACTTCAAGTATGAATATTTACAAATGCTGAATATTGTATAAACGTTTTATTTTACGGTGGTGCCCGTTTTTTAATTTTGAACGACGGAGCTTTCGGGTGTGAGCGTCACCCGCCGTCAAATCCGGTGACGCTCACACCCGAAAGCTCCGGACGTTCAAAATTAAAAAACGGGCACCACCGTAAAACAAAACGTTTATACAATATGAAGACATACGGTCCCGTTAAGAAGAACCATGTTTTCAAAAGCTGAATCCGCCAATGGTACAGAACAACAAACGCCAGCAAGTAAAGTTATGCGTTGAGAAAAATCGAACAGATAAGCAAAAATTGATACTGTATTGATTAGTACTGGCGTTCAACGAGTCTCCGTAATCGCATTCATGATGAGCGGCATGGGGGAAGCCAACGCGTAGCTCTGGCACTAACGTCTATTACAGCGGAGATGAGGCAAAGTCATCCTGCCCGTAAGGCTTCGTAAACCATAGAAGATGCATATTTTTTTATCAACAACACGTATTTGAATTGTTCGGTTGAATTTTTTGCACTCTGTGTTTGCACCCCACTAAGTGAGAGTGGCACGTTACTGCAGGCACGCATTATATAAGGAGCGAAAAGAATGCTGCTGTTATCGCTTCTCGGCTCTCAGGAGCTAAGATCAAAGTGTAGTATCTGTTCTTATCAGCTTAATATCTGATACGGGGTCCATGTGGCCCCAAAGATATTAAATGAATTTTTGGACANAAGGTGGGGTCGTAACAGCTTGCTGTTCGCCCACCGCGGGTCGGCCCGGTATTGCACTACCTCCGGGATCGGCCCAATTATAATTCTGAAGGTTCAAACTACTATGACTGGCAGAGACAGCTTAAGCCTCAGCTGTTCCTCGTTAGGCACCTGGTCATACTGTAAGGTTGCCGGCTCTTTCATTCTTCCGTTACCTAAGAAATAGCCAAAATACAAAGTCTATACAGTGGAACCTTGATTATAACAACAATACTTGCCAGTGGGTAGTTGTTATATCCGAATTTTTGTTATAATCGAGTCTGCTTACCCTACCAGTTTACCCTGTCTTCATGTACTTTAAGCTTCATTTTTTAACGAAACCTGGCTGCATGACTGATGAGTTCAAATTAACTATAAAAGTACCAACAAAAATTTAATCTTTTTTCGAAAATTCTGTGATTCGCATTTCTTTCTGAGTAATCTCACGTTCCTATGCCGCGAGATCGCGGTCGTAACTTCCGCATCATTCTGTCGTACTGTAACCTATTGTTCTCCTTAGCAAATTGTTATAATCGAGAGTTGTTAAGTTCGAGGTTCCACTGTACTGAGGCTTACTTTAGACAAAATAGCACGACCAACTTGCTTCCCAGCAGTGGCAGACCACCATAGCTGGGTTAGTTGACAGGAACCTGCATTTTTCTGGCTACTGTATGACCGGGAATTTTCTATTACTTGACAACGACACGGTGCGAGATTCAGAGTCTTGTCCGTTATGCGTCCCGCCGACTGAAAAATGCACATTCCTTTCTGGCAAGCATGCGACCATCCTGTTTTGCCCTAAGCTACGCCTAAACCACAATATAAAGCCCTACGTTTAGGCTAAGGCTTAGGAAGAGCAGAATAGGATGGCCGGCAAAGGTACACTGTGTCGCATAACCGAGAAGACCCCAGAAAGAACGCTTTCTAAATGTGCTTATGTATTTAGTGTAGCTTATTTTATTGCGCCTCCGCTATTTTTTGCTCCTTATTTCATCATGTCGTAGCTGAGTACAGCTTTCAAATGCTAGTTGGAAACATTTTAAACCGATTGGTTAGTATCGGCGTCACTGCGCTCACCTGCAAATCTTTTTTACTACTGTAGTCTCTGTTTAAACTGCTAGTATGATATGACACTTTATCTTTAGTGAGAGCCAATTGCCTTTTCAATTTACAGTTAAACATTTTAAAATAATGAAGACTATTGATATTCAAGAGCCACTAAAGGAAATGCGCTGGTTTTCATAAAGCAAGAATTTCCTTGTGAAAAAGGTTCAGACATGCCGCGTTGTCCTCTTAGAGTGTACTACAAAGACTGCGTTGTAAGCTGAAATTATGCTGACCAAACGAAACCGGCGAACAGCTTCTTATTTCATTCCATAGCCGCTCTCGCTGTAAAACCGCGTACAACCTCAACACAGCGACGAGATAGTAATTTTATTAAAATCTACGAATGAACAGCTACCATTTATGTTGCTTTACAAACGTCAATTCTGCTCTTCTTAGAAGAGTCTCTTCTTTATCACATCCTTTTTGATCATATACAGTCCGAATAAGATTTGCAGGTTCTGGCTTGGACAGTCCATAACGTTGCAGCTTTTCTCCCCTATATCCAACTCCCAATTTTTCTCGTGGCGACTGCGCCGTCAACATCATGTCAATAGCGACGGGAACAGAAGTTCCTCGCCTTCCGAGCGCTGTTCCCTCCTTCCAGCCATGCTTCTGTAGCAATCGACGACCAATTCCTTTGGTATGTTTCTCAAATGAACCAAAGAAATCGCTGCTTTCATCTTCGCGTCTCACCGGGCGAACTTTTTTCTCAAATTCACCAGACGTATTAGGCTGAAGAAAACGTAGTTAAATTACAGCGCACGTTCTTCTACAGTTTTCCAAACTTACCTGTTGGAAGACGGAGTCGGATTCTTGGCCATTCGCTATCCTCTGGCTTCGTCTCATTTCAAGCATATCTTTTGCGTCCTTATCGCCTACATCATAGTCGCCTGGTTTTTTATAATAGACACTCATGTCAACATCCCATTCGTCCGCCCATTTGGCGTCCGTGTCTGTCTCTTGCTGAGACCAATGAAAAGCGTCTGTGTAAAAAACAAGACCGGGACCTCCTTTTTCCCAAACAATTTCCATTTCGTCTTCGTACAACCTCTCATTGAGACGCTCTTGTTTTCCGCAGTCTTCCCGAAAGGCTTCGTGTCTTTCCCATTCTTCGCATAGGTCTTCGTCAGATGGACCCTCATCGTCAGTCTCTGAATTTTCTTCAGAGGTAGAAGCATCCTTGTAGCCGCTGGGCTTTCGTCCAGTTGCTTTCGCGTAGTCGTAATGATACTCAACTTCCGAGTACATATGCCTCTTTCCGCTCTTTGGGAACTTCAAACCCAACTTATGCACCACACTCGAAGGCATTGTGCATTTTTGAATTTCGGCAAAAAAGTAGGCAGTTGGCGTGCCCACATTGCCGCAAGGCATCAGCCTTGGCGGATTCAACTCCCTGAGCTTGGTAACTTCATCGGCGTCTTTTACCTTGGATATTTCGCATTTCAGCGAATGTTCGTTACCAGCAAAATCGGCCCAACGTCGACCGTTGTATTGTTCTATGAGCTTTTCCCTGTTAAGATGTGTCAACTTAACGACTACGCAACATGTCTTGGGACCAGATGTGTCCCGCGAAGGCGTCGACGAGCCGTCCGACGCGGCAAGGCGCGTTTCAGGACGATGAAGAAAGTGAAAACACTGGAATCGACTACTTTCAGTAAATGTTGTGAAGAAGGAACGAAGATCCTTCGAGTGATACGTACTCGGTATATTATGCACAACGGCGTAACATGAATCTTGTGAGTCCATTTGCCCCATGGCGTCACTTTCTGAAAATACGGAAGCGTTAGTACTATTATTTTAAAGTTCGCAAAACAAAAATATGCATAACAACATTACACATGCTGCAAATAGAATACACTAAGAATTAAGACGCGAAGGGACTTCACGATCTGACGCGGTGGAAAACTCAGTAGGAACGTGTAGGCATCAACGGAAGAACATTACGAATCTGAACGATCAACTTTGGAACACGCTCCAGAACGACGAAGCCAGCAGCATACTGCTTTGAATTATTTTTTCACTGTGACAAGAAAATAAGCAGCATTTTAAAACAGATAATAGGGGCGAGTATAAACAACAAACCAATTTTCTCATAAACAAGTTGAGCTGAAAACAAAAGCAGCAAAATGACTAGATTCTATCAGCTCACTGCAAATGAAATCTTCGGTTCGGCGAAACGAAAATAATATTCATTATAAAACCCAGAAACATACCTCTCGAAAGATTCTGACTAATGCGTACAGTAAACCAATGCGCAGGTACCATTCGGCATAAAATATCTTCAATCCTTGACAGAGTGATAAGCTACTCGTAACGGGACTAAAAATCGTCTAAAACGAAGAAAAAGTTCAAACGATTGCATCTTGTCCAGCTTTTGTTACGACAGATAAGAGAAATTCCTTTCTTAACTCGCTCGTCCTATTGTCAAGTTGGCAAGCGGAACAAGAGCAGTTTTGAGATTTCGACTCTGTTCTATTGGAGCGGAGTTCTGTCCATAATGATTTTTCAGCTGAAATATCTTCTTAACGCGCTGCAAGCGCTTAAGTGCATAGTGCTTAGAAATGTTTTTTTCTCAATTTGGACTGATTGTTCAGTTTAATTATAAAACATCTGCTGAAACGATTAAGCAGTAGTGTGAAAGATAAAATATTGGGTGGTTTCCATTAAACGCCTGGCGAGTTCTTCAGGTGGAACTAAAATCGGATTCTGTTGGTCCAGGTCAAAAAGCTCAAAGGTCAAGCTAAAATCAAGTCCTATTGGACGTATTAAGCGTATACAGCCAACTTACAATCAACAGATGCTCTAGCCTAGGCTGCCTGCGGTTAGTTGAATTAAGAGAACTTGATTTCAATTCTGCCTACAGTATCCACCAGGCGTCTACTGGAAAAGACAAATTATTTTTAAAAATATTCCCAGGAATGATTTTGGTTTGCAAACTCGACTCTGTTTAGGCCATGCATTCTTTATCGGCAGCACTGCAAAACCAACATATAGAGTAAAGAGAATCCTTCCTACGTGCTCGTTGACATCTTTGGGCAGAATACCAGAAGTGCTTCAATGACACTTCTGCCAGCGTAGCGTTCTTATAAATTCTACATTTTTTGATTGCAATATTTTGTGGTTATTCGATTTCTCCGTTTATTGGCGCTTTGTAGTTGTTATGCATTTATCCTTTACTGTAACTAATACTGACACTTTCTGTTCATGCGAACGTTTCATCTTCATTAAGCTTGGTGCTGTGTGTCTACTTTCGTGTCAACGCGGCCTGTGAAATCGCCTTAGCAACCTTCGCCAGCTGTGCTGCTCGATCGCCTACCGTAGGGAACCTGCTTTTCACAGAGAAGAAAAGTGACACGTGGCGACAAAGCAGCGGATCGCTTGTGTGCCTTGTCGAGGGCCTTTTGCTGTGAAGTTTCTCAATCTTACATTAAAATGTTTCTAGAGTACATTTGAGATAAATCAGAGGACCTTTGAGCTTTTCGTATAACTTTCCGTTACGACTGCATCGCTTGCAGCGCATGCTGTGCTCAGTTGAAGCATTCAGAGGTCTTAAATTAGGGAAGGGTGAAAGTTAGCCCATAACAAAAGAAAACTAAGACAGTTCGAATTGGCATTGTTTATTTATTGGGCACAATCCCTCTTATGCAGTGTAGGTGAAAGTTTGAACCCCGAAGTGCCGGAAGAGAGGAAGTTTTGCCGCATTTCTGTCTGCCAGTTGTGAAGACATAAAAAGTTTCAAAATGGGACAGCTCTTTGAGTGTTGCCTTTTACTGGTTTCGTAATTTATTCAGAGTGGTCCTATGCGTATTGCAATAGATGATCTTAAATCTCTATGGGATTCAGATGAGGAGGACGAACCTATAAGTCGTTCAAGTGTTTTTTTGTAATCATGCAATGACAAATAGAACACATGCAGTGAGATGAAAAATCCTGCCCACTGCTTTCCAACTGATGTTA